GTGTGTGCCTGTGGGAGACTGAAAGGGAAATGGAGGTGTCTCAGTGGACTTTTTGGAGGATCATATCCCCAAGGTGGTGGCTGCATGTTGTTGCTCACATAATTTGTATGAGAGTTAGGGTGAAGTGTTTGCCTGGGGGTGGAACAGTGAGAGACAGCACCCAGATGCACAGTTTGAACAGCCAGACAATCATGCTGTCGGAGGAGCCCGTAAGATGGCTTATCAATATCAGGGAGGCTTTGAGGAACTACTTTGACAATAAGGGGCGCTGACATTTCTGTGTGTTGGGGTTGTATCCCTGCTTCATTCCACTGCTTATCCTGAAGAAGGCATTCCCATGAAACCCAGGGATTTTACAGGCTTCAGCCGGGGCCAGAGCAATTTCATAGAGGGATAAGGGATCTTTCGTAAAAGGCTTTATTTTCCGCAAGATCAGTGTCTAGATTGGCGCTTTTTTCTGGCAAAGCTCTGTGCCGAAAAAAAAGCGGCAGCCATTTTTATGCTAATGAAGCAGGGGAGATTTAAATTCCTGCTTCATTAGCAATTGCAATACGTCTAATTTACATCTCTTTTACGAAAAAGGGATGTAGTCTAGACGTAGCCAACCCGTCATGCTGTCAACTTTGACCTGGTCCTGAACCTAGGTTGGTATGCACTTTATTTGTGGGGAAGCGGTTGGTACCAAGATGTTTCTTAGCCAGGCATTCTGTTACAACTTCTCTGGAATGTGTTTGCAGCCTGTGCCTGGTACCTTTTGGCATTCTTTATGCTTGACCTGGCTTATATTATTTTTCTTTAGCCAAGCCTCTTTCCTGCCTCCGGTTTCACTGAGCCAAAGTCTTGTTCACTAGATTTCAGGCCTGCTGTTTTTATGTTACAGGCCTTTAACTTACTACAGGCCTAAGTGACTTGGCTATGATTGTCTATTAAGTCATCAAGAGAGCCAGGAACTTAACTGAAATTTCCTTCATGCCTACTTGGTACCAACTACAAGGCCACCCTCCCAAGTCTCCTCTTGTACGTGTGTTGATGGAGCCCTTTTTGCAGGAAAAGTTGGCCTTCTCCAATAACTTTTTTTCTCAAACCAATCTGCATGATATCTGACTCTGGTCTATTTTAGTGTGTGTGTTTTAAATTTTCCCAGTTTGAAGTGAATCAGATTGTTTTACAGATTTCTCACTTGAAAATAATTCAGACTTGTTATTTTGGAATTTCTCAAGAACTGCTTCTCTGAGAAACCACACCAAGGGTTAGTCTTCAATGAAAGTGAGTTCCTTTTGAATCTCTCTCCCTCCCCCGCCCCGCCCCGCCCCATAGTAGTCAGAAAACTCTTAGTTACAATTCATTCAGCTTCATCCTCATGAAGCTATGGGAGAGAGAAGGCATAATTTGCTGTCATGTGCAGCAGGTAGTAGAATGTTCCCTAAGGAAACATGGATCTCAGTACAAGCATGGAGGACTTGGGTATTTGTTTTATGGTATAGATATTGACACTACCAACCTGTTTGCCACATAGTAGGATTTAGAGCAGGGATGGGCAAATTCCAGCCTGCAGGTTTAGTTCCTGGTGGGCCCCAACCTCCATATTTACCTGTGCTTTGACAGGTATCCAGTGATCACAGCTCTCCTAGGCCACGGATTACTGTCCACAGACAATGAGAGCACCAGGAAGCACTGTCCCAGTCTGCTCTCCCCCCGCCGCCTTTCAGTTGACTGAAATAGGCAATCTGTGGCCCACCCCTGATTTTGGTGCCATTGCCTTGCCATCTGAGTTAGAAGATAGCATTGGGGCATGTTGACTTCTTAAACGTGCTTTTCAGTCTCTAAGTGGCAGAGCCTGAGTCCACGCACTTCAGGAAGTAACTCCTTCGCAGCGGGGAGGAATAGCTGACTGGTGTGAGCATTGGCCTGCTAAAACCACAGTTGCGAGCTCAAACCTTAAGGGGGCTATTTAGGGAATCGGGGATCTGAGTTAGAAGATAGCATTGGGGCATGTTGACTTCTTAAACGTGCTTTTCAGTCTCTAAGTGGCAGAGCCTGAGTCCACGCACTTCAGGAAGTAACTCCTTCGCAGCGGGGAGGAATAGCTGACTGGTGTGAGCATTGGCCTGCTAAAACCACAGTTGCGAGCTCAAACCTTAAGGGGGCTATTTAGGGAATCGGGGGCAAACTCTGCCAGGGATGGTTCTCGGTCCTGCAGTGAGGGCAGGGGACTGGTCCCTTCCAGCGCTATGAGGGCTAGGTATAGCGCCATAGACCAGCACTGTAACCAGGGTTCCCCACAGCCAGCCCGATGAAAGGTGCGGGCTTGCCGGACAGAGGGAGCGGGGCTTGCAGGGGTTGCGACGCGCACGCGCGTGTCGCGAGGGCCTGTGTCGCGCCTCGGCGCGCGGAGAGCCAGGGGGACGCTCGGGCTCTGTGCCCGGCTGAGCGAAGGCGGGACGGGCCCCGCGCGGGAATCGGAGATTTGCGTCACAGGCCGGCGTGGGGCGGCAGACCTGCCGGCGAGGGGGTGCCGCGCGTTGGCCGCCGGGATTTGTAGTGCGCGCCCCCACCCCCCTCCGGCCGCTTGTCACGCGCCTTTTTTTTTTTTTTTTGTGCGATAGTGCCGTGCGACAATGCCGTAAA